GGAGCGCCAGAAGTTGATTCCCAATATCCTAAGATGGTTTTTTGTTAATATTTGGACGCCTCCTACTCGTTCCTCTTTTTCTCCTCCTTTTTCTCATCCTCATTCTCCTCATACCCAGACTTACTCATACACAGACTTACTCATACCTAGACCTAATCGTACTCAGATTTCTTCATGACACAGTATGCTCACACCCACTCAAATGCATACACAGTCATAGTCATACCCACTCCCACTCGTACTCGTGTACATTCTTTGCGGTACAGCTCGTGTCCTTCCACTCTGACTTACTCATGCTCAGATATACTCATACCGAGACTTACTCATACACGAACTTACTAATACTCAGACCTACTCATATTTAGATTCACTCATACTCGGACTTACTCATGCTGAGACTCACTCATACCCAGACTTACTCATACTCAGACTCCTTCCCAGACGTACTCATACACAGACCTACTCCTGCTCAGACCTACTCATACTCAGACCTTCTCATTGTCTGATTTACTCAACACACAGAAGATTGTCAGGATGTCTCAGGCGGGGGCGATGGTTTCAGCACCTCCAAGGGGAGCCGCCAGGGGTGTTTTCACGGTCCCGTTCGTAGCAATTTTGTGGGGATGTCTCAGGCGGTTTGCCTGTTTTCTGTCTCAACATCCTTGGCTATAAGAGCATATTCTGAGGATGTCTCGGGCGGGGCGCTGGTCTGAGCACCCCCAAGGGGAGCCGCCAGGGGTGTTTCCACGGTCCCGTTTGCAGCAATTTTGTGGGGATGTCTCAGGCGGTTTGCCTGTTCCCTGTCTCAACATCGTTGGCTATCAGATCAGATTCTGAGGATGTCTCAGGCGGGGCGCTGGTTTCAGCACCCCCAAGGGGAGCCGCCAGGGGTGTTTCCACGGTCCCGTTCGCAGCAATGTTGTGGGGATGTCTCAGGCGGTTTGCTTGTTTTCTGTCTCAACATCCTCGATTATAAGAGCAGATTTTGAAGATGTCTCAGGCGGGGCGCTGGTTTCAGCACCCCCAGCGGGAGCCGCCAGGGGTGTTTTCACGGTCCCGTTCGTGGCCGTTGTGTGGGGATGCCTCTAGCGGTTTGTTTGTTCCCCATATCTTGAGATGGGGTTCTTGATATTACTTGGACGCCTCATACTCCTCCGTCTTCCTCTTCTCCTCCTCCTCCTCCTCATACCTAGACTTACTCATACACAGACTTACTCATGCACAGACTTACTCATACTCAGACCTGATCATCTTAACTTACTCATACTCAGACCTAGTCATACTCAGACCTACTCATACTGAGACTTACTCATGCTGCGACTCACTCATACCCAGATGACTCATACTCAGACCTTCTCATTGTCTGACTTACTTGACACACAGCAGGTTGTGAGGATGTCTCAGGCGGGGCGCTGGTTTCAGCACCCCTGAAGGGAGCCGCCGAGGGGTATGACACGGTCCCGTTCGCGGCCGTTTTGCTGGGATGTCTCAAGCGGGTTGATTGTTTTCTTTCTCAGCATCTTTCGCTTGGAGAGCAGATTTTGAGGATGTCTCGTGCGAGGCGCCTCCTGAGGGGGGGCCGCCAGGGGTATTGCACGGCTCCGTTCGCACCAAACTGGCGGGGATGTGTCGAGCGGTTTGCCCGTTCATTGTCTCAACATCATCCGCCCTCGGAGCAGATTTGGAGGATGTTTCGAGCAATGCACTCATGTTCACCCCCCAGGTGGGCCAGATTTTGAGGATGCCTCGATCGGTTTGCTTGTCCCAAGAGGCACCAGGAGACCACAGAACGACTCAAGAGGCCACAGGATGTCCCAGAAGGCTCCAGGAGGCCCCAGGAAACTCCAGGAGGCCTCAGGAAGCCACAGGAGGCTCCAGGAGGCCACAGGAAGCGCCAGGACGTCTCGGAAGGCAACAGGAGGCCCCGGAAGGCCCAGGAGCAGGAGGCCTCAGAAGGCAACAGGAGTGGCTCCAATCTCATGTGTTTTACATATGCTCCTATATTTATCATATATATGTTATTATACATCATAGATATATAAGAAATATATATATATATATATATATTGGGCCTCACCTGGAGCACGAATCCTTGATGGTATACGTGTGTTTCTATATATTGTCCTTCTTCTGTGTATGCAATCCTAACTGTTGTACTTATGTTCCTATACATTGGGCCTCTCCTGGGGCACGAACCCTTGGTGTTTTACGTGTGTTCCTATCTAGTGCCCTTCTCCTGTGGCTCCAACTCGCAATGCTTTATGTACGTCTGTTGCTGTAGATTGGGCCTCTCCTGGGGCACGAATCCTCCCTAGGAGGTCCCAGGAGGCCCCAGGAGGCCCCAAGAGGCTCCTGGAGGCCCCAGGCAGCCCCAGTAGGTTTCAGGAGGCCCCAGGAGGCCCCAGGCTCATGCGCAGAGACGCGCTCGTACTACTGAGGCTCATTCACACTCCAATGCATTCGCAGTTAGATTCATGACCAGACCGTCACAACTCAAGCCCGTTTAGATTCGAACATTTTAGACGCTTCGCGTATCCCCACCAGTCCATCCAGAAACGATGTCCAGGCGAGTTGAGAGGTGATCAGGGAAGTGCGGGAGCAAAGAGGGGGACGGCCGAACCGAGTGAAAGAGAGAGGGGGCGAAGGAGAAAATTGGATGGATGGATGAGGGAGTAGGGAGAAGGAGGATGAATAGGATGAGGAGGAGGATGAGGAGGAGGAGGAGGAGGGGGAGGAGGAGGATGAGAAGGGATAGGAGGAGGAAGGAGGAGGAGGAGAGCAAGCAATAGGGCCAGAGGTCTCTTGGATGCTTCTCGGAGCCTCTTGGGGTATCTCTTGGGCGTCTTGGGACGTCTTGGGGGTCTCTTGGCGGTCGTGGGGGGCTCTTCGGCGTCTTGGGTGCCTCGGGGGGGCCTCTTGGGGCCGCTTGGGTTCCTTTGGGGGGTCTCCTGGGGGCCTCTTGGGGGCCTCTCGGGGCCGTCTTGGGGCCATCTTGGGACCTCTTGGGGCCTCCTGGGCGCTTCTTGGGGCGCTTCTTGGGGCCATCTTGGAGGAGATGGATCAAACAAGAGGGGAGCTTTAATTAGCGCCCCCCCCCCCACCCCAAGAGGCCAAAATGGGGCCAAAATCTTGGTACAACCAATGATTTGGGCTTCCTCGCCGAGGCCGTTTTGGACGCTCCGACACCTCGCGAAACCCCCTGTCCAGGTCCAGGGGAGGGGGTAGGGGGAGGGGTAAACCCCTCCCCGAAGGGGAAGAAGGAGGGGTGGAAGAGGAAACTCCCTAAACCACCGACGCCCAGAGGGCTGGTGGGACTCTTGCGCCTAGACATTCACGGTGGACAGGTCCATGCGAATAGATGCACATATGGGGAGCTCCACGCAGTGAAACATGTTTATGCAGTTTCTTGTTTTTCTACCCATACCTTTACCTCTCCGCCCGTGTTCCTCTTCTTGGGCCTCTCGTCGCCATCGCCGGATTCGCCTCGAGATGCTGGTCAGAACGCGCCCCGGGAGAGGTCCGGGGAGTAGCGGTCGGGGCCCCAGAGACGGGGGTCGATGCACACGGGGGTCAGCCAGAGCGCTGGAGTCTGCAGGATACTGCAGAACCAGGGGCGCACCGACCTGAGCTTGCGTGCAGGTCCCTGCTGGATTCGGCAGGACCTCGCAGGATCCTGCAGAGCCTGACCGACCCGCGGCCTGGATGGACCCGGGTCCGCAGATCCCCCGAGCGGTATCGGTCCCTCTCAGTTCGAAGAAGGAACACGGCATAAACATACACTCTTGGTGGCGCTCCGCGCGGATCTCTTGGATCCGCGCTGGGGCCCCCTGGCGGCGCCTCCGGCGCGGCCCCTGCCGCGCTCCGTGCGGGGGGTCCAGCGCAGATCCAAGAAATCCGCGCGGAGAGCCAAAAGTTTGTGTGTGTTTTGCCGTTCTTTCTTCTTCTGAGTTCCCCCAGGCCACGTCGAGAGAGCGGGCCCGCTCCCCTTGGAAGCCGACCGGGCCCCTCCGCCATGCCGACGGCAGCGCGTCGGCGCCGCTGGAGTCCGTGCGGTGGGCGCCCAGGGCCAGGTCGCCCCCGGCCCCCGCGTCGTTCCCGGCCGTGCCGCGGCGGGGCCCGGCCGAGGTTCGGTAGCAAGTCGCGGGAGCTGTGCGTCCCTCGCAATTTCGTCTTCAGAGCGCACCACCGTCCACAAGCGTCTTGCAGTGGTTGATTCAGCGCAGGTTCAGCGCCGATGCGCGTCGATGAGCGTCGACCAGCGTCGACTAGCGTCGTTTCGCGTCGATGAGCGTCGACGAGCGTCGACTTAGCGTCGACCATCGCCGACTCGCAGGAGAGCCGACAGGATGGCGCGGGAGGCTCCCGCGAGTTTACCAGCCTGGAACCTATCCCTATCCCTATGCTGGGCACCTCATCACGACGCCAATCTCAGGGATTCCCTGGTCTCTTTGACGGCGAACCCCTGAAGATTATTGCCATCGCCTTCTGGCGTGCCAATCTCAGGGATAGGGATACGTTCGAGGCTGGTTAATCTTGGAGCCTCGGGGTCTCGGAGCCACGCAGGGGGGCAGCGTGCAGCCCACCTCGGCCTGTCCTGGGCTGTCTCGGGGGCACCAGGATCGTCGCTGAGGGTTTTCAAGTCCCAGCGAGCAAAAAGTTCAGGAGGGGAAAAGCACACAGACACAATGAATCGTCGACTCCCAGGAACATATGGGAAAATATGGGAAGTGGTGGGGAAGACGAAAACCCGGAAAATACGGGCCGGCCGAGGGCGCAGACGCCCCGGGGCCGCTGGCGCAGAGCCGCTCGGAGGGGCGCCTGGCCGGGGCCCTTCCGCTGGGCGCGGGCGGCAGCGAGAGGAGGTCCCGCGGGCGCGGGGGGGGAGCCGTGCGGCGGGGCCGCTGCTCCGTCCCCCCCCTCCCCTTTGGAGCTGAGGAGCGAGATGGGCACGGAGAGAGTGGGGGCCCTCCTCCCTCCTCCCTTCTCCTCCTCCTCCTCCTCGTCCTCGTCCTCCTCCTCCTCCTCCTCCTCCTCCTCGTCCTCCTCCTCCTCCTCCTCGTTCTCCTCGTCCTCCTCGTCCTCTTCATCCTCGTCCTCGTCCTCGTTGTCGTCGTCGTTCTCGTCGTCGTCCTCCTCCTCCTCCTCCTCCTCCTCCTCTTCGTCCTCCTCGTCCTCGTCCTCTTCCTAGTCCTCGTCCTCGTCCTCCTCCTCGTCCTCGTTGTCCTCGTCGTCCTCGTCCTCTTCCTCGTCCTGCTCGTCGTCCTCCGCCTCTTCCTCGTCCTCGTCGTCGTCGTCTTCCTCCTCTTCCACCACCTCTCCCACCTCTTCCACCTCCCTTCTTGGACACGCTCGGCTTCCTCCTCTTCCTCCACCTCCTCTTCCTCCACCTCCTCCTCCGCCTCCTCCTCCTCCTCCTCCTCCGCGAAGACCGACAGCAGTTCATGTCCACCTTGAACAGGTTTCGCTGTCGGCGCCGTCGCGGACGTTGTCCACTTGAGGCAGGAAGTCGCTTGCCCGACAGCGCCCGCTGTCGGGTTTGGGCAACTCTTGATGCTGGGCATCGTGCCCACTTCTCTCGAGCGTCCAAGTCCGAGGAGAGACGGGGACCACTGCCACCGAGAGCTCATCGGTGGGGTTCCACCCCTGGGCGGTGGCACGCCCGAGCGTCGCCCCGTCGTCTGGCACCGGGTGGCGCTCGGGCGTTCCACTGCCCGGGGGTCGGCCAGTCGGCCCCCCCCTCCCCGAGTCACCGAGCGCGCTCCACTGCTCGCAGAGTGCCTACTCGCAAACGTCCGAAGCACGCACGTAGTTGGTTGCCCCGGTGTCGTGGGATCGTGAAGCCCTCTCGGCGGATCTGGGCCATCGGCGAGCAGCTATTCTGCGAGCAGTGGAGCGTGCTTTAGGGGAACGAACAATGACACAAGCATAGAAGTCGGATTTCTCGGATCCGCGCTGGGGCCCCCTGGTGGCGCCGGAAGCGGTTTACTATGCTTGTCTACCGATGGGTCTTCGGTTTCGGTGGTCCCTGCTTCTCTTTTCTCCCCAAGCCGGCGGCGCGCGTGGTGCGCGGGGCGAGGGGGGCGAGTGTCCCGAGAGGGTATACAGTGGAGACCCATGCCAAGAGTCATCCTGCTTGCCTCCAGGGTGCCCTGGGTTTCTTGGGTTTCGATGGTTTCGAGATGGAAGGCGTGACGTTCCCACACCAAAAGCCAATAGACGTCCTGGGGTCTCAGGGTTGGGTTTCTCGTGGAAGGTTTCTTGTGTGGATTGTCCTCCACTCTACGGGGGGTCTATTGGGGGCTGGCCTGGCCCCTTCGAGGGCCGCTTCCCCCCGCATCTGCACCCTCAGAGGAGGCAGCCCCCCCCTGTGACTCAGTGAGCGCGCTCCACTACTCGCAAAGTGCCTACTCGCAAACGTCTGAAAAAGAACAGGTCTGCCCCGATGTCATGGATCGTAGATCCCGCGCGGCGGATCCAGGCCATTTGCGAGTACTTACTGTGAGAGTGGTGGAACGCGCCTGTCTGATGACCCTGGCCCCTCTGGCGCGCCGCCACCCTTCCCCGAGTTCCTGGCGTTGCGATATTTTTTGGACAACGGGACCCTCACGGATCGATGCGGCTCGAAACACGGCGCAGAAAGATGGGGTCTATAGTTAGAAAGTCCAGGGTTCGCTAGGGACTGGTTTCCTTTAAAAAGAGCCGAAACCCTCCCGAAACCCTCCGCAAACCCTCTGGGGGAAGGCCTGTCCCTAGCGAACCCTGAGCTTTCTAAGTCTATAGGGCTCTGGTCGCAATGTTCTGTGATGCCGCATTTTTTCGCAACCTTGAATCTCAGGGTTCCCCCCTGCCCATACCCCCTAAAGTCAACCCGCATGGTAAGAATGAGCAACTTTCCAAGGTTACCCTACCATCCTTCCCCTTCGGCCCGTCCTTGGCCGCTTTCGCTGGCCGCGCCCCGCTCGCAGAGTGTCGACATTGCCTTCCAAGGCCCTTACATACTTATCGTGCGTCCTTATTCTACGGGTCGACTGCACCACCCCGCTCCAGGGAGGGAGCGGAGGAGCGGGGGAAAGGGGAGGAGGTTGGAGCGGCGTGGCGGATGGCTTCCTCTTAGGGGAACGAAACATTACCTAAACATAACAACTCGGAGGTCCGCGCGGACCTCCGAGTTATTGAATCGCTTCGCTCATTCCGCCGGCCCGTGGGGGCCTCTTGGGGGCCTCTTAGGGCCTCCAAGAGGCCTCTTGGGGGCCTCATAGAGCCTCTTGGGGGCCTCTTGGGGGCGTCTTGGGGGCCTCCTGAGGGCTCTTGGGGGCCTCTTAGGGGCCTCTTAAGGACCTCTTGGGACTTCCTGGGGGCCTCTTTGGACCGAGGGCTTGAAATTTTGTTTCGTGCTCCCCCTCTGGGGCCGCTCTTGGGGCTCTAGGGGCCCTCTTGGGCCGTCTTGGAGGCCTCTTGGGCCGTCCTGGGGCCCTCTTGGGCGCCTCTTGGGCCCTCTTGGGGCGATCTTGGGGGCCTCTTGGGCCGTCTTGGGGCGTCGGGAAGCCGAAAAGGTGGAAACACCCAAATCAGTCCAAAACCTAAGGGAAAGCAATGATTGTTGCATCTTGGGGCCCTCTTGAGAGTGCTCTTGGAGGCGTCTGGGGGCGTCTGGGGGCCATCTTGGGCGTCTTGGAGCGATCTTGTGGCATCTCGGACCCTTGGTGTACCATCTTGGGGGCCTCTTGGGCGCTCTTGGCTCTTCTTGGGACTCTCTCTTGACCCTTCTTGGGGCTCTCGGGGACGTCTCGGGGCCCTGTTGGTGCGCTCCTGGAGCGCTCTGGGGTTTCTCCCGGGACCTTGCCGGGGTACTGTTCGTCCGGGGACCCCCAGGGGCCGCCCCGCGCGCGCGAACTAGAAATACTGTGAACCAGTTACCGGAGATCTTAGCACGCCTCTGGCTCGTTGGGCCGGCGAATTATGTTTAGTTGTGCCACTGTTCGTGCCCCTGCCTTTGCCCTCCCCCCCAGGCCGTCCAGCGAGTCCCTGGTGTCCCCGCTCCCGAGGCGCAAGCCTGCCCAGCTGAGAGGCGGCCCCCTGGACGCAGCGGCCCCGGGGCCGCGGGGCCCGGCGCTCTCGCCCGCGACGTCGGGGACGGGGACGCCGCCCTTCGGCGCCGCCTCGCCGACCAGCCTGACCGGCAACAGCGCGGACAGCTCGCCGACCGCCAGCAGGGGCCCTCGCCCGTGGGACGCGGCGGCCTGCGGCGCCTTTGCCCCCAGGCTGCGTGCGTTGCGTCTGCGGAGGGGGGGGGGGCGCGGAGATTCGGTCGGGCACGTCTCTCCAGAAAGGAGTACTCGCGAACGGTGAAAGAGAAGTCTGGGGATGATTTCTCTTGCCCGTTTTTGGTGGCAAATGGGGTTCCTTGTTTTACGAGTTGTTCTTCCAAATCGCACCATCGGGGCCCCATAGGGCCCCGCTGCGTCCCCGGAGGGTGCGCGAAACGTGCACCCGTCTTCACTCGGCGCCACCCCCACAAACTGATCCCATGTGTGCGTCGCCCCCCCAAGGGGCGACGCGCGCACCGAGCAATCTTATAGTGCATGCGTCGAGGCTGGCGCTTTCCGGCCACACCGCTCGGGAAACGATATATATGCTACAAGATGGCTATGCTATATGTTCGGGTCGTACGCGCGCCTCCAAGGAGGACAGATAGTACCAGTATGTCTCTGTGCGTGCCATTCCCCCCCCCGTTCCCTGAGGTCTGACGTTGCCCCAGAAACTGCGACACCGAAAAGTTACGATCCGAACCCGGACCCCATTTTTCGGGGTCGTTTTTCGAGCCAGATCGATCTGTTATGTCCTGCGGCCCGAAAACCGGGCGACAAGACGCCTCTTGTGGAAAAGGTGCGACGCGAGGATCTCATGGCCTATCGTCCCCTCGCGACGCCGCGCGCGAAGGTTCCTCCGCAGCAAGGGCCGGGGTGCCCCGGCGACGTTGCAGGCGCTGCCGGGGACCCCGCAGCGGGGGGCGGGGGAGCCCGCCGCGGGCGGCGCGGACGAGTCGCCGCTCGCCCACGCGGACTGGAGCTCGGTGCGGAGGGGTGAGCAGGACCAGGATCGGGGGCGGCCCAGAGGGGTGTGGTGATCTAGGCCTCCCAGATGGGGGGTCCGAGCAGATGGGGTCGAAGGGTCGCTCCGCAGCGCCGATGCGTCGACGATGCGGCTCGATGTGGAGTGAGAGTTTCTCCACGCCGACGGCGCCGATGCACCGCCGATGCACCGGCGATGCATCGGCGATGCGGCGCGATCCTCCGACCCCATCTACCTGGATCCCATCTGGTAGGCCCCTAGATGACTGGGGGGGGGGGGCTGGATATGATGGCTGGGGCCATGAGATCTCCTCGGATCTCTCATGGGCCCCCTCTTCGTGCCTCGCTTCGCCCTCGGGCCTCCCCCTGGGCCGTGCACGCGCCTCGGGCTACGATCTCAGAGACGGGGTCGGAGCAGACGGGGTCGAAGGATCGCGCCGCATCGCCAATGCACTGGCGACGTCGGCGAGGCATCGGCGCCGTCGGCGTGGCGAACGTCGGGCTCTGCATCGAGCAGCGTCGCCCATGCATCGGCGATGCGGAGCGATCCTCCGACCCCATGTGCTCGGACCCCATGTGGGATGCCTGGAGATGTGCCCCGACCAGGGGCCCAGGATAGGAGGAGGAGGAGGCGGAGGAGGAGGAGGAGGAGGAGGAAGAGGAGGAGGAGGAGGAGGAAGAGGACGACGAGGAGGAGGAGGAGGAGGAGGAGGTGGAGGAGGTGGAGGAGGAGGAGGAGGAGACGTGGAGGAGGAGGAGGCGGAGGAGGCGGACAGGAGGAGGCGGAGAGGAGGAGGAGGAGGGGGGAGGAGAGGGAGACGTAGAGGAGGAAGAGGACGAGTGAGAGGAAGAGGCGAGGAGGGAGGACGGAGGAGGAGGAGGAGGGGGAGGAGGAGGAGGGGGAGGAGGGGGAGTTCGCGCCTTGCCTCCCGGGCGGCTCCACGGCAGGAGGCGGCGCCTCTCGGCCCGGCGGCGCGCGCGCGGACCCCGCCCGCGCTGGGCGCGGCGGCCGAGCCCGCGGAGGGCGAGGGGGAGGGCGGCGGCCGGCGGGAGAGCGCCGGCGAGTCAGCGGTGTGCGGTCGCAAATCGTGAGGCCCTAATGTCGGAGGTGGACAGAGACACGTCGATTGAGGAAATGGCCGTTTTCGGTTCGCGAGAGGGTGTCGCGGCCGTCATTTTTGCGGGTCCAGGTCCGTCGGTTTCGGTCCCAGGAAGTTTTCGTTAAGGGGAGGTTTTCTAAAGGGAGGTTTGTCCACCCCCGATAATGTTCGGGGGGTCCAGCGGGGGGTCCAGCGCGGACCTCCGAGCTTTTTTGTTTATGCCATTTTCCGTTCCCCTATAATGATGCACGCCAGTCGTTGAAAGTAGGTATTTGTGGATTCCCAGGTCCCAATCTACTTCTAGCGCCTTGCTGCTTCAAGAACCGATATGCGTTTGCAATGCTTTTTCCCGGAAAGGGCATAGGCCCAGGGTTCTCTTTTAGTTGGTTTACTTCTGGGTTTGACTTGAGGTGGACCGGCGAATTTTTTTTGCGATGAATCTCGAGGTCGAGGTGGGCCGGCAAAGTAAACATTGAGGATGTCTCGAGCGAAACGCTTGTTGTTTTCAGAATGTGTTGAGGGTGTCTCGAGCGAAACGCTTGTTATGTGTTATAGATTGTCCTCTCCTGGGGACCAGAATTCAGAGGATCTCTCAAGAGAAATGCTTGTTTTCACGTGCCCTGGACTTGAGGATGTCTCGAGCGAGACGCTTGGTTTCACGCCTCCAGGTTGCCCAGGCCGAGGTCTAGCGCCAGGATGTTTTGAGGATGTCTCGAGCGAGACGCATGGTTTCACGCGTCCTCGTCGCCCAGGCGGATGTCTAGTATGAGGATCCAATAGCTCTGGGGCAGCTGCTATGTGTTCAGGCAGCTCGAGCTTCAGATCCAGATCAGTTCGGTCAGGCCTCGGATGCAAAGGAGGACTCGATCCACGACGCTATAGAGCACAATCGCGGCATGGCACATCGCAATTCAGCACGGTGCAGCACAGCACAGCCCTCGGCAGGGTAAATCAAGATCGATGCACTCGGCATTGCATTTGCCCGTCACCCAAACAGGTGTCTTTGACGTTGGGACGTTTCGCGGCGCGTCCCTTGGGACGTTTCGCGGCGCGTCCTCCTGGCATGTCCCCCTGTCAATTAGCTCTGGGGCAGCTACTATGTGTTCAGGCAGCTCGAGCTTTAGATCCAGATCAGTTCGGTCAGGGCTCGGATGCAAAGGAGGACTCGATCCACGACGCTATAGAGCACAATCGCGGCATGGCACATCGCAATTCAGCACGGTGCAGCACAGCACAGTCCTCGGCACGGTACATCAAGATCGATGCACTCAGCATTGCAGTTTAGCACGCTCCTTGGCACGGTCCGTGGGGCTTGGCGAGTCCACCTGGCACGTCGCGTGGTGCGTCCCTTGGCACATCCCGTGGCGCATCCGTTGGCGCGTTCTGTGGCGCGGTCCCTTGGCACGTCCCGCGGTGCGACCCCATGGCACGTCCCCTGGCACGTCGCCTGGCGCGTCCCTTGGGACGTTTCGCGGCGCGTCCTCCTGGCATGTCCCCCTGTCAATTAGCTCTGGGGCAGCTACTATGTGTTCAGGCAGCTCGAGCTTTAGATCCAGATCAGTTCGGTCAGGGCTCGGATGCAAAGGAGGACTGAATCCACGACGCTATAGAGCACAATCGCGGCATGGTACATCGCAATTCAGCACGGTGCAGCACAGCACAGTCCTCGGCACGCTACATCAAGATCGATGCACTCAGCATTGCAATTTGGCGCGCTCCTTGGCACGGTCCGTGGGGCGTCCCTTGGCGAGTCCCCCTGGCACGTCGCGTGGCGCGTTCCTTGGCACATCCCGTGGCACATCCGTTGGCACGTTCTGTAGCGCGTCCCCGTGGCACGTCCCGCGGTGCGACCCCATGGCACGTCCCCTGGCACGTCGCCTGGCGCGTCCCTTGGGACGTTTCGCGGCGCGTCCTCCTGGCAAGTCCCCCTGTCAATTAGCTCTGGGGCAGCTTGCTATGTGCTGAGGCAGCTCGAGCTTAAGATCCAGATCAGTTCGGTCAGGACTCGGATGCAAAGGAGGACTCGATCCACGACGCTATAGAGCACAATCGCGGCATGGCACATCGCAATTCAGCACGGTGCAGCACAGCACAGTCCTCGGCACGGTACATCAAGATCGATGCACTCAGCATTGCAACTTGGCGCGCTCCTTGGCACGTTCCGTGGGGCGTCCCTTGGCGAGTCCCCCTGGCACGTCGCGTGGCGCGTCCCCCTGGCACATCCCGTGGCACATCCGTTGGCGCGTTCTGTAGCGCGTCCCCTTGGCACGTCCCGCGGTGCGACCCCATGGCACGTCCCCTGGCACGTCGCCTGGCGCGTCCCTTGGGACGTTTCGCGGCGCGTCCTCCTGGCAAGTCCCCCTGTCAATTAGCTCTGGGGCAGCTGCTATGTGTTCAGGCAGCTCGAGCTTCAGATCCAGATCAGTTCGGTCAGGGCTCGGATGCAAAGGAGGACTGAATCCACGACGCTATAGAGCACAATCGCGGCATGGCACATCGCAATTCAGCACGGTGCAGCACAGCACAGTCCTCGGCACGGTACATCAAGATCGATGCTTTCAGCATTGCAATTTGGCACGCTCCTTGGCACGTTCCGTTGGGCGTCCCTTGGCGAGCCCCCCTGGCACGTCGCGTGTCGCGTCCCTCGGCACATCCCGTGGCACATCCGTTGGCGCGTTCTGAAGCGCGTCCCCTTGGCACGTCCCGCGGTGCGACTCCATGGCACGTCGCCTGGCGCGTCCCTTGGGACGTGTCGCGGCTCGGCACTTCCTGCGAGGTGCCCCGGCGTGGTCGGGCGGGGGGGGGGTTGGGCTTGTAGATGTGGGGGGGCGGGGGGGAGGAGGGGTGGGGGTGCGAGGGCGGTTGGCGGTGGGGGGGGGGGGGTGGGTCGGATGGTGGGGGGGATTGTGGGGGTGGGGGCGCGTTTTGATGTTTTAGGGGCAGGCATTTTTGTCGTATGGTTTCTACTATCTATTATTTTTTTTTTTTTGTTGTTTGAGTTCTTTCTATCCTTCTGTCTTTTCTCTCTTCGCTTTTACTTCACTTCTACCCTTTTGTTACTATCGTGGTGTGTTTCAGGCAGCTCGAGTTTCGTTCCAGATCAGTTCGGTCAGGCCTCGGATGCAAAGGAGGACTCGATCCACGACGCTATAGAGCACAATCGCGGCATGGCACATCGCAATTTAGCACGGCGCAGCACAGCACAGTCCTCGGCACGGTACATCAAGATCGATGCACTCAAATTGCACGCTCCTTGGCACGTTCCGTGGGGCGTCCCTTGGCGAGTCCCCCTGGCACGTCGTGTGGCGCGTCCCCCTGGCACATCCCGTGGTGCGACCCCATGGTACGTCCCCTGGCACGTCGCCTGGCGCGTCCCTTGGGACGTTTCGCGGCGCGTCCTCCTGGCATGTCCCCCTGTCAATTAGCTCTGGGGCAGCTACTATGTGTTCAGGCAGCTCAGAGCTTCAGATCCAGATCAGTTTCGGTCAGGCCTCGGATGCCAAAGGAGGACGCGATCCACGACGCTATTATAGGTGCTCAATCGCGGCATGGCACATCGCAATTTAGCACGGCGCAGCACAGCACAGTCCTCGGCACGGTACATCAAGATCGATGCACTCAAATTGCACGCTCCTTGGCACGTTCCGTGGGGCGTCCCTTGGCGAGTCCCCCTGGCACGTCGTGTGGCGCGTCCCTTGGCACATCCCGTGGTGCGACCCCATGGTACGTCCCCTGGCACGTCGCCTGGCGCGTCCCTTGGGACGTTTCGCGGCGCGTCCTCCTGGCATGTCCCCCTGTCAATTAGCTCTGGGGCAGCTACTATGTGTTCAGGCAGCTCGAGCTTCAGATCCAGATCAGTTCGGTCAGGCCTCGGATGCAAAGGAGGACTCGATCCACGACGCTATAGAGCACAATCGCGGCATGGCACATCGCAATTCAGCACGGTGCAGCACAGCACAGCCCTCGGCAGGGTAAATCAAGATCGATGCACTCGGCATTGCATTTGCCCGTCACCCAAACAGGTGTCTTTGAAAACGTAGCCATGCGTTACAATTCTATATGCCTTTACGGGTTCGTTGGTCGATCATGTTTGTTATTCGCTGGGAGGGCCCTGGACCCAATCTTCTTCATCCGCCTTCCTATTTCGGTTTTACTTTTCTCCCGACTGGCGTGTACTCGAAGCAGACAAGTCGGCACAACCGTATACTTTCGGCGCCAAAAGTTTGTGATTATGAAGTTTTCCTTTCTTCTATGTTATACCCTCTTAATTCAGTCGTTAACGTTGATTAGCGCTGATTGGCGTCGATAAGCGTCTGGGAGTCGTGAGATAGCGGCGATTTAGCGTCGGCTAGCGTCGGCTCCCGTGAGTTGCCACCGAAGGTGGTGAGCTTCGCGCTGACGATGCAGGAGGCCCTGAACCGGTACCCTCACGAGCGGCGACCATGTCCGTACCCGCGCCCTCGCGGCCTGGGCCCCAGGACGCGATTCCGAGGATGCCCGGTCGCACGGATGCGATCCGCACGGGGCATCCGCGCAACACTCGGGAGACTCTTCATGGGGGGGGATCCCATGGGGGGATAGGATCCCAGGGGGGGGGGGATCCCATAAGATCCCCGGGGGATCCGTGGGGGTGGCAGGAGGGGATCCCATGGGGGGGGATCCCCTCCTGCCCCCCCATGGGATCCCCCTCCATGGAGAGTCTCCCGAAACACCGCCCCTCGCGCCGCGGGGTCGCGGCCCAGGGGCCCAGCCCGCGAGGCCGCGGATGCGGATCTGGTTCTCGCCCGCGGTGCCTGGCGGCGCGCAGCACGGGGGGACAGCGCGAGGGGGGGGGCGGCCTTGCTTCTGGGGAGGCGGGGGCCTCTTCTCGGAGGCCCTGCCGGCCTCCGAGAGGCCTTCTTGGGGAAGCCTCCGGGGCCCTGCTGAGGAGGAGGAGGAGGAGGAGGAGGAGGAGGAGGAGGAGGAGGAGGAGGAGGAGGAGGAGGAGGTGCCTGCCGTCCAAGAGGTGCGCCGCCTTCTTGGGAGGGCCCCCCCCCCCCGCGCCGCCCCCCCTCGTGCGCGCTTCGCCAAGGTACGAGGGCGAGTACCACGCGGAGCCGCGGCGGGTCCAGATCACCTTCGAGCGCTTCTCCACCGACGACGGGGAGGTCCATCGCGACTCCCTGCACTCCATGCTGCTCCACCTCGGCTTCCTGACGAGCACCGCGAGCCAGGCCAAGCAGCTGGCGTCCGAGATGTTCCGCTTCGCGTCCATGGACGCCGCCGACTTCGCGGAGTTCGTGTCGAGGTTCCAGCAGCACGAGCGCCAGGCCGTGCACGAGGCCGCCGCGGCGTGGCTGGCTCAGGAGCAGAAGGCGCGCACCCTGGCGGGGCTGCAGAACTTCCTGCGCTCCGTCGGTGTGGTGGAGGACGGCGCTGGCGTCGCGCGGATGCTGCACAGGGGGTGCCCTGGCAAGAGTCCCACCAACTTGGAGCTGCCAGACTTGCTGCGCGTCGTCGCGGCCTGCCGTGTGAATGAGGGCTTCACCAGCCACGAGGTGGGTGCCGCGCGCGAGTCGTTCGAGAAGCTTCACGTCCGTTTCGGCGTAGTGTGCAGAGGGTGGTCGGACATTGCCGTCAAGGTCTCCGCCCTACCGACAGGCATGATGAGTTTCTTCACCATCTATCCGAATGTGCTGCCGCGCATATCCGCCTTCGCGCCAAGGGAAGCTGAGCGGAAACGCTGTGGCCGGGTACGGCTGTGCAAATGCATAATTGTAGTATTGCCTCGTGGCGGCCGCTCTCAATTCGGTTGTAGGCCTCGTTTCGTCCCTTCGGGGGGCTTGGTGGCAGGGATCGTCTTTGGGGGTCGTGGGGCTGTGGTGCTGTGGGGTTCTGCGGAGCGTTCATGAGGGCTTTGCGTTCGAGCTCGTGGTACAGGACACTTGCGTCTTGTGTGTGTGTGTGTGTGTGACTTGGATCCTCGTTTTGACTTAGCAGCTCCGCGCCCAAGCTTCTACCTCCTCCCCCTCCCTCTTCCTTTACTCTCCCCCGCTCATTTCTCGGCACACTCCTCACCAGCTTCGCGGCCGCACAGTGAGCTCCACCGAAGCCCCCAGGGGGAGTGGCCGCATGTTGCCCCCTCCCATTTCGGAATACCCCTCACATGCTTCGCGGCCCCACAGGCAGCTCCACCGAAGCCCCTAGGGGGAGTGGCCGCATAGCGCCCATTTCGCTCATTTCGACGCACCCCTTACACGTTTCCAAAACGGAGCTTCACCGTGGCCCCCAGCACGGGTGTGTGGCCGCACGCCGTTTCCCCGCCCATCGGCATACCCTTCACACGCTTCGTGGCCCCGTAGGGAGTCCCACCGAAGCCCCCAGGCTGGGTGTTGCAGCGCAGCGCTTCCCCCCACAGCCCATCTCTGCACACACCTCACACGTTTCGTGGCCCCGTCAAGGAGCCTCACCGACGGCCTCCGCGGGTGCGGCAGCAGAGTGTCACCCGCCCAATTCGACACAGCTCTCACCCGCTTCGTCTTCCACGAAGGATTGCAACAAAAACGAAGGATTGCAACAAAAAGATGGCCAAAAAACGAAATATTGCAAAAAAAGGAGAAGGATTGCAATCCTTCGTTCGTAGAAGGATTGCAATCCTTCGTTTTTTTTTGCAATCCTTCGTTTTTTTGCAATCCATCGTTTTTTTGCAATCCTTCGTTTTTTTGCAATCCTTCGTTCTGGGTTCAAATGGAGCCCGACCGAACCCCCTAGGGGTGCGGCGGCATGGCGCCAACACAGCAAATTTCGGCACACACCTCACACGTTCTGTGGCTGGGGGTCCCCACCGAAGGCCTCACTGCCATGGTGCTGCGTAGCGCCCCCCCCTCCGCCCATGTTGGTACACCCCTCCCATGTCTCGCGTTTCAGCGGGAGCTCGACCGACCCCCCGCAGGGGGTGCGCCAGCAAAGCGCTCCCCCCCCGCCGATTTCGTCCCCCGCCGCCCGTGTCGGCGCACCCCTCACACGTTTCATGCCCCAAAGGGAGCACGACCGACCCCCCTGGGGCCCCCCCAGGGGGTGCGGCAGCATAGCGCTCCCCTCCCCGCCCATTTCGGCACATCACTCACACGCTTCGTGGCCCGGCAAGGGAGCCCCACCGAACGCCTCAGCGTCATGGTGCAGCACAGCGTGCCCCCGCCCATTTCGGTACACACCTCGCACGTTCCGTGATTCCACAGCAAGCTCAACCGACGCCCGCATGCGGTGCGACAGCATAGCGGCCCCCGCCCATCTCGGTACACCCCTCACACGCTCCGTGGCCCCATAGGGAGTCCTACCGAAGGCCTCATT